AAAATAATTATATAAAACACCATTTATATGCAATGTAGTATGTTCTACCATCATAATGAACGTTAAAACTTGAGTTGAGTCCTTCCATTGTTTGTTGGTCGTAATTTTCACTTATAAAGACATCTCCGCATTCTTGTTTACTTAGAAACCTTGATAATAAGCAGCCCCTAATTATTCTGGGACTTCGCCAATCTACAGTGTGTATATGTACGTGCAAGTGTGCTGGGGCAAGATCGTTGACATACATTGCCGTTGCTCGAAAAAGATACCACAACAAACGACCCTACCATCATTGAATTTTCTCTACTAATTACAGTGTTAATTTGGTCAAACCCATCTAACAAAGAATCGTCCCTCGATTCCAATGATAATCTTGTTGCTGTTGCAACAGACCGGCAAGTTGCGGATAAAAGACCCTGAAATCTGTCTGCTCAGAAACCTTCGGCGGACAGGAGCGCAGATGAATAGGGGGGAATGCGAGGGGAAGCGAGTAACAATGCGGATGATGTAACGGCCTATACACAAGAAAAAACCGGCAATTTTTACCACCATTTTGCTGAAAGCCTGCTTTAAAAAAATCGAATGTATAAAATATAATGAAAAGGAATCTGAATCAGGCTACATTTTACTTTCTTTATATATCTGTAAATATTGAAGCATTATGGAAATTCGAGCTTGTCTTTTTTTCGACCTTAAGTAGATAAATAGATCGTGTAATGAGCTAAATGTAAAGACACTTAATTTTGCAACTGTGTCTCCAATAAATATATAATCTTCGCTTATATTTGAGGTGCGTTTTTTGTCTCTCTAGTGTTACACGGACCTCTTAATAGCCCTGCTTCAAAATTGCTCAGTGTCGAAAAACGGTTTTTGAAGAAAAGTGTTCAGATAGTATATACTTAGAAATTATCAGCTAGATAATACGTTGACTTAAAATGAATCCGGGAAATGACTAGGTATTGTGCAGGTATTTGTGCAGGCAAGCTGCGGCCTGTAGACAGAACGTATATGTTCATCGCTCTACGTAGCGATTTCAGGAGACGAGGCAGTCCAAGGAAAGCAACATATATCGCAATTTTAATAATTTTTTAAACAGTATTTTAAAAAAGCTCACTAAATATACCTTGAATAGCAGACGAAGCGCGACGCAAGAATCGTTGTTTGAATAATCCAATTAGGTAAAATAAGAAAGTAGCATTCATAAAGCCGATGCGCAGGTAGCTCATTAAATTTGCGCCCCCTACATTGACCGTATAAACCGCATGAACTTGCGTCGGGTACTCAATTCCAATATGGAAATCTTATACCAGCGTAATGTATACTGATCCCTTATTTGATTATATAGAAAAACAAAAGGGGTGAACTTGTGCGTTGAGTAGTGAGCAATGACTGCTCTAAGGTTTTTTTTCTGCAGGCAAGGTAACTTGTTGGCACCATGGGGACGATAATAATAAATCTACAATAGATCAGGGTACACAGTGTGCAACTGTGACTGTTTTTCTATCATGAAAACCTTTGTACATCAACATCAGCACAGTCCGTCGAGTGTATCGCACGTCTTGAGGAACGCCATAGTCAAATACGGATAAATTCGATAAGTCGAATAGCCACCATTACTACCTTTAAAGATGTGTTTTTATCTAGCTAAGAGTTGTTATTATTATTTGCTTGTCAGGATAGTGCATTTGCTTGTTCAATGAATCAGAGCGTGTGTGTGTGTAAATAAAACGTTAACGATAAAATGCAACATGAGGTGAAGTTTAAAAAACAAACTGTAACACCGTCGCGTGATTTCCACATGCCCCCTCATAAGAACACGTAGAACACGCAGAGCTCCCATATAGTCGAATAATCCATTGTCGACCTGCCCTTGTCTGCCCCATTCCATTGCACAAACTAGATAGTTCCACATCGTCTAGTTTTCTAGACAGAGCGGGCACCGTGGGACGTTGTACGTAACCATTGACACTGGCCGTAACAGCAGTATGACATCAGCAACGCAAACTACATACTGGTTACAAATGGGGGAAGGCAAACCCAGTTGACTGGCAGTCGAAACGGCATGACGATGGTAGAAGCTGCTGACTGTGAACTAAGAAGATCAATTCAGTCGAAGAGACAATTTGCAAAACAGAATAGTAACGCAGTCCGTTTACGACGTTCGTTCTACAGCAAAACGTTGAAAATTTCGGGTCACCGCCGGCAAACAAACAAAGAGCCCCCCCCAACAACCAGCCAATAGCAGGCCAAAGCTCGACTTGAGCTAACCGATTGTGAAGGGCTGTTGTGTGTGAATAGCCTTCGCCAAATGGACAAATCCCCAAAAACCAGCTACTGGCTACAGACGTCAATCTATTACCGCAAAGCATAAATTCTACTATAACACATATTAGTGCTGGATCTCATGCTGCTATTGCGACGTTGTGTCAGAGCGACCATTTGAACGTTGACGATGGCCACCCAATCGAGAATGAAATAAAGACGAAAAATAAATATTAACGAAACAGCCCTTATTCGATTACAACTCGGTTTTTGGTACCTAAAATCTCATTTTCCCTGATAAGATGTTGGCTCCATTTTGGTGATACAGCTCCTCCATGATAGCGGTTCTATTTGTTCGATATCTGGGTATCATCGATATTGATACCGTAAATACTAGCTGGCTATTTACTCATTCTGATGAATAGAAATGTTCATATAAATAATCATAATGGCGATTATTTCTAACAATGTACTAATAGCCATCAAATAGCTAGTCAGTCTAAATGGTTGTAGAATAAGGCAAAGACAAATTGTAGCTATCTGTTATTATGCCTTAGTAAAATATGGCGTGACACCTAAATCGGATCGCACATATCATGTCTTATCTTATCTTTACCTACATTCTGTTTTGTTATTTAGGTAAAAACGAAATTCTATCAAAAAAATAGTTTTTAGTTGTACTGAAAGCGCCATCGTTGATGCTTGCATCCGTTAAGCATAACTGCCATTTGACTACGGCTTCAATTCGGGACCTAAACCACTTGTTAGATAATATCGATGTATTGCCTCTATGATCCGCAAATAAATAGCGTCTCTCATCTCTCTTACAAACTGTCGCTCAGCTTGTAAACTAAGGTGTTTTGCTAGGACATTTTTGACAGGGGCTGAGAAGCTGGACCTATTAGGGTCCCTTTCGCCTTAGTCTGGAAAATGTTCAATATATCAATGTTTTTAGTTATCTCGAGCCCTCGCGTTGACATATGCAATGATATCAACTTGATGCTATGCTTTTGTACTGTAAAGCTACGGGAAACGGAACCCCAAAACAAGAAGATTTCGAATAATATTGTTCTCAAACTTCTACCTGTCAGCACGCTTCGACTTTTACATAATAGTAATAATATATTATTAAAATCATCTTTAATCATTTGGCTGCCTTTAAAATTCCTACGATAAAAACATCGGTTAGGATCGTCCAAAGTTCCCTTTGTTATCATATGTTCGCATAAAAACATCGAGAATTATTATATAGAACTTGAGCATTAGTCTCAAGCGAATATTGATCATTTCTTTATAAACATGCCGCTAATAATAAAAAAAGACTACAGATCAGTATCGTAAGCGATTTGGAACAGGCTGGAGAGCCGAATGAAAAGAAGTTGAACGTAAATTAATGACTGCTGTTACGGCAGGCCACATTAGTGAGATTTTCGCCTTACGAACGGTACCCTATAAAAATACAACTCAGCCTGTTCTCGAACGCAATAGAATCATTATTATTATTATTATTTTTATCAGAAGGTAATAGAAGATTTTCTTTACGTGCTCTCATGAGCTTCAATCCCTCCGGCTGACCGCGTTTATCATAATAAGTGCATTGTTGGAAATGCGCAGAGGAAAACTTCGAAGATTTAGCCATTACGAAGATTTTAAGAGGTCGACACAAGTTTTTTTCACATAATAGAGTGTATTTTACAGCTGTAATGAGGTACTCAATGAGTGTGCGTTGGATCTCTGTGTAGAGTTATATGTAGATGTCATTTTTGTCGAGCTACTCTACGACAGACCAGGGATGTTGTAAGGTTTAACGTTGTAGTCAGCTTTGGAGGCGACTTTTCAGTAGAAGAAAAAGCCGATGCGTAATGCTTTACGTATGTTTGTTTGTTGCCACTTGCGTAGCCACACTGAGCGATCGTCTTGAAAAATCCCGAGACAAAGACGTATAACTTCATTATGTAGGTATGATGGATAGGCAAGCTCATCCATGCAAGCACAACAATAGATTGCAGATTTGGCCACAACATCTACGTGTACCTTATACAAACTATGAAGATCCCAGTTCGTAAAATTGAATACATGTCAGATTGCCGAACTTACCCAATTCAATGACACAAGTATAATAAAATTGGAATTTTAACATATAGCTTAGTGTATCAAGCCTCTAGTTATGATTACGATGCTTCCACCAGTACCGTTGCGTATGCGGCGCTCGTTTGTTCCGCTTACCTTTTCCTAGAGGCACTCAATGTGGCCGCAATACTGGAGACATCCGTAAGAACAGCAAGTAAGTTCAGCTTGTCGAACTTTGATGGCCGCCCGTGTCTAGCTCTTTCGAGACTCTGGTGCGCCTGCCGCTACCACTAAGTGCGTGGTCTCTGACATTGGCCCGGAACGGGCTCAACTTTGCGTTGGACGGTCAGCATTTGGAGTGGTTAATCTGTAAAAGAATGAATCGAACACCGTCAAACGAAAAGAATTGAGCACAAGTTAGTTTTACCAATGAGGCGAGATGTCGGCCGTGTCACTTGAGCGTGCGTGTATTGTCACTGGAGAGAGGTAATCATCTAGGTGCGATAAAGGTAGCTAGATACTTTGCCCAGTGCGTGTAAGTGATTGTACAATGTATGGGTTGGCAACTTTAGCCCCTCCATCTGGCGTTCCACTACCGTCCTCGTATACCGCCTCTCAGGGTACCTTACAAATCGTATTGCATGCGTCTATTGTAGGTATTCGTCTTACTTGATATAATGTATGGTGATGAATTGAATATTGAAATCCTAGAATGCGTCCGATGCAAGCCTTTTACGCAAAGGCGGTTTTAGCAACCAACCTAGTAGGTACACTGAAACGTCCTACTCGATAAAACCGAGAAATAATAATTATACGATAGTTTAGTTGGTCAGGACATTGACTCGTATCAGAAGAACATTTTGCTTCGAACTCTGATTGACAATACTGTTATTACCTATTGATTGATAGTAATAACAGCATACCTTATCTACATAAGTTGAAATAAATGAAAAAAATAATAGTAATACGTGTTTTTATACAAAAAAAAACAATGGGTAAGATTTTTCAAAGCAATGCAAACTAGCTTGATTTAATTAGTTTATAGAAAAATCACAACAAAGTGTTTCGTATATCAGAGTTGTAGTCCAAGATCCAATCAGAGTAATGCTTTGACGAAATCTTTTATTACTTAGATCGTATTCCATAAAAACCTTGTTTATTTAATTCTTACCGCTATATAATCATTGGTGCTACGAGTCACCATTGTACTCAATCTCAGTTTATGTAATTGTTGTTATCGTCATAAACCGTTACATTCCGCTGCTCGATCTCTGTTCGTCTCGAAACATAAAAAGTACAATCTTATTTTACTAAAACCCTGACTTTTTTAGGTTCCAGAGAGCAAAAGCACCATTGACGGTTCTCAAGGAACCGTTTACATGAAAGACACGACAATATCTTAGCCAAGCATATGCAGCTTAGCAATAGCCTCTAAAATGAATAAACGAGCCTGGCTTATGCAGATTTGCTAAGTAGTGACACGCTGGTTGTTTGCAGGCATTTCCTGAAACACTGAAAGACAGCCTCGGCATCCCCGTCAACGGCTTCGATAGCGAATCGAAAGAACTTCCTCAACTTCTCTAGAGTTTCGGTAAAATTCATACTTAGATTGTCTTTAACGATTTTCGAGTTTCTAACGTTCGTAAACGGTGCATCCTAGAGCGCTCTCCCTCGGCTGATATCCCTGGCTTTTGTGTAACTTCGCTTCAATGAACTCTACCTACTATACTTTCGTTACCTAATTTTATCGAAGCGTTATTTTAACGGACCCGCGCGCTGGCGAAAGTCACGGCTTGCCACTCCACAAGAACAAGTTCTAACCGTATGAGTTATCACGTAGATGTGTTGGTTACCAAAAAAGTAATAATTACATATTAATATAATTAATATAAATAATAATAATTTACAAAAATTAATACACGTAGATAATTGCCCATAAAAATTATGATAGATACGTAAAATTAAGTGCTGCAGTTGTCAGACGAGACACTTATAGTTTGCACCGACAAAGGTGAATGTCATTAGCCATTACCTGTAGTACTTTTTAATAGATTACTTAATTACTTTTAATAGATTTAATAATTACTTGTTGTATAATGTGTATCAAAATGCCACATAGCTGAATATATCTACATAAGTTGTATAGATGTGAATTGTCGAAAGAGTGCGTAACATTGACCATTTTGACCAAATGTCTTCTGCCATTGTTCTAATAGCGGTTTCTGGGTAAAAAATGATTTCTACACCCCTCTGTCAAAACTTTTGTAGTTACAGCTTTAGCTTGGCCAGGCGGCAGCAGCAGCAGCAGCAGCAGCAGCAGCTGCAGCTGTGCCATTGCTTTTTACTAATTTTTTTTATTTTTCTCGTACATTGTTACCGCTTTATACGATCGAATGATTTTCACTAACCATAATCAATTGCCTTCAAAGAGGTTTGATTTCATTGCATTTTAGTAGAGCTACTTCAGTAGACACACATTCGGGTAAACTCATCACCCAAACAGTAAGCGTCTTTTTGGTGCACCCTGTTTTCGAACAGTTTAAAAAATTGTCCGGTGATGGTTGTTTCATTTTTTGACGGCGTCATAGCTACTCACGTGTCGGTCGGTCGGTCCTGCTCAGTTTTTGTAATAATTTCATTGACTTTTTTTGCAATTGCTCGATCACGACAAGCATCTTGACCTCAAATAGCATACATTTTTTATGGGTCTGGACAGTATTTGTGACTGTATTTTAAGACGATTATAAATTCTTCCATGTTTTAGGTCTGAGTAAAGGCCTTCCGATAATCTTTGTACGTTCAGTACTATCAAATCTCCGCTTTCGAACGACGCCAACGCCGATCTGATACGGTTCGTATTACCTGAGAGTCCTATACACGCTTTTACTTATCATTGGTCCACTCGATTTCCTACATACACAACTTGTAATCGATGTCATTGGTACTGAACTTTGAACGTTGGTATTACCTCTCTGCTGATGTTACCATTGAGGGCACTTTACGAATAGATTTTGCCTGATGACGTTCAACTGTTTCTGAAAATCCGATGTATCTAGTGGCTGTTAGTGATTGATATAAGTGGCATAAATTTAATTTTATCTCATGGATGCTGGCGTACCAGAAACACCTATATATTCCCTAAAAGTTTTCGCTCAGCCAATACCTTTTAATAATTATCCAACGCTATTACTTAGGATAATAATAAGATTTATCAGTAAATATCTGAGAGGGTAGTATGTGCTGTGAATGACGTATAACATAAATTATTCACCATATTTTCAATATATTGACGTAATTAATCCCAAGCGTCGAAACGTTCGGAATGTACCCTAATCACTACTAGGCCATATCTTAATTGTCGAGACTTTTGCGAAATGGCCATTGCGACTCATCGTAGATTCGATACTCGGCGGCCCTGTACATGTTTTATTTGATGTCAAACATTTTCATATTCCATCCATTTCCAAAAATTAAAGATAGCATTCTAAAAGATCCAATGTTTACTTTTTCTTTTCTTATCCTATTTCAGTCTACAGTCTTGAATAGTATTGGCCCACAATTGATTTTGACGCAAAAAATTTAACAATACACCAAATTATACTTTCGGGCCACCCCTTGCATAGTCGCTACGCTATCTCGACACTGACTTGATTAAATGAAATCAAGACTGAGCACGAAACAAAAATTATTCCACAGAGCGGTAAGTTACGGTAAGACACAGTTTTTGCTGTTAGCTATTACAGATTGTAGATAGTCGAACTCACAATTTTACTATTGATTGACAACTAGAAATCTGTCAGGAATTAAAAAAAATACGTGGCGCAAACTGGTATATATATGGTGAAAGCTTTCCCCTGTAGCGTTTTCACGCTCAGGTCACGCCGTAAATGGCGAGTTCAGCCTCAATAGTGTGAAGATCCTCCAACGACACGAACGATAAGTGACTATGTCCTAAGAGGCCAGTATACCTAGTAAAGTCTAGCTTTAATCGGTACAACGTATTGTTGTTGCGCTGTTGTATCACTGCGCAATGATACGCAATGATTCCATAACTGCCGTGTCGTTGGCGCACGATGCGAGCAAGTAAACTTTTACTACCTGACAATCTACAAAGACTCTACCTAAAGCCATCTTTAACCATAAGTTTATCCATGTCTAATGTTTCGTAGTAGCAGTCGCCTTAGCCAGATCAATTGATAAATATACTCGTGAAATTCGCGTTTATTGGAAACATGTAGCGCCCATTTACCCATCACTGACCAACTAAGCCTAAGGCCGGTTACGTAGCCTTTATAAGGTACTGTGTTGTTTCCAATCCATAGAGACATGTATTCCAGAAATATAGCGAGAACATAATTGCAGCAAGAACCAGTATGAAAGCCGAACCTATCACATCTATAAGTAGCAAGTTCTTTCTTCCACAGCATGTCAGTAGTGAACCAATGGCAATTAGTAAACTAAAAATGGCATGTTTGTGCCAAAAAACAGTACTCTTAGAACGATAACAGTGATTTGCGTAAAACAAACTTTGCGATAAACATTATAGCGTTAATTTTGCCTTTGGCGTTAATAACGTCTACGTCCAGCTACAGGGCATACGAACGAAAATACACAGGGCGCGATAACAGAAAATTTCGAATCTCTTAACCTCTGTGCATTTGCACAATCGGAACAAGACTTCGGGAAGGCAGATTGTGGAGATCGTTTTCACATGAAAAGACACAGTGGGCCGCTGTAGTTTATCAACGTGGCGTGGAAATGTTTCCATTAGTGTTTGGCAACGCGCTGTTATTAACGGAGTCTGGTCCAGTATTACAAGATGCGGACGTTTTACTCCGACGGCTCCAACCAGGAATTTCATCGTTTCAGAAGTCGAACATAAAAGTCACAAAGTACAAACAGGCAGTATAGGATAAAGGTAATTATATCACGATATCTAAGTCTACATTGTGACATAAGAATTGCTGACTGAAATATCGTCGAATGAAAGGGCAGGAAGTGAGAAGGAGAAAGAAAAAGAAGGAAGCAGTGACTGTCGAAGGTTTGATGGATCGCCGCGTAGAGAGTGCAATGGTCGAAACTCAAGCAGTATTTTTGATTCTATGGATGTTTCCGATTGCTTGGCGTATTCCTCATCTGTTGTGTCGCCGCATACGTCGGTGCCCAAGCATATGCTACTAGATCTTTTGAATCTGTGTGGCTGTTTTTACCATTGTGTGGGCTTTTTACCATTGGAAAAAGCATAATTCTAATGCGATCTTTGGCCAACCTTCATGTATTGGGCCTCACGAAATTTGTTCTTACGCTACCTCAGATGTTTCCTAAATACTCACTCTGAAGCGGGGTACATTTTCATGTATTCCAATG